ACTGCTGTGGGGGGTGGGAAAGGTAACTGTAGCACCAGCTCTGGCAACATAGGCTGGATTGGAAGCAGCCAGCACTTGGTGTTTGGCTCTGTTAAGGCAGCTCCTTGCACACACCCCTCCCCCAACTCCCACTGCAAAACGTTGCTTACCATTGCCTTAGATCTAAAAAAAAAAAAAAAAAAAAAAAAGAGCCATTGAAAAGTTCTCTCTCATTTCACTTTTCCCGTGATAACCCCCAGCTTCCCCTATACAAGTAGCCATGGCCACACCAATCAGTACTCATTTCTCCTACACACACAGGGAGACAGCTCTCCACAAAGTTTACAGCTAGATTTCCAGTATCCAACGAAGATCTGGGTTTATTTTTTTAAATAGCTTTTAGTCTTTCACTTCCCCAGACTGTTCACACGCTCCCCAAAGGCACTACCATTGAACGTGAAGCCTGGCTATTCTCAGTTAGTCTGAGCACCACAACTCAAGTAAGCCAACAACAACATAACACATTCCAGACGTTTACGAAAACTGCTTGACTATACATGATCACATGCCTATTCAGTACCCTCTGTCACTGTGTCCCTTCTGATTATCTTGTCCTATTAGGCTCAAAAGACTCAAATTCTTTCCCCAAATGAAATGCAATTGAAGCCTTGCTCTTAGCTGCAAGCGTTTTAGAAAATAAGAAGTACAATGCGTGTCATCTACGTACCTACTGGGTAAGTATAACTCACGTGCCTTAGCTGGTATTTTGCAAGTTAAGACAATTTCTTGCCTATCACTTCTGTTGCACCAAACTTGATTACAGGCATATACCTTAAGTGCATAAATCAGTTAAGTGCACAACATCTGTAGCTTGCTGTATAACTTTGCCGTGCTCCTGTTAACTGTATATGAACTACCTGCCTGCTTTGTAACAAGTTCTATTCCTTTAACTATTCCAGAAATAGTGCAGGGGAAGCAGCTGTCAAAGGGCTGCTATCATAAGCCTTGAAAATGGTAGAGTTGGTGAGTTTGAGGGCTGCTAACCCCACAGCACTGACAGCAATGTATACTCACCAAGAATTTGTTACAGCACTGTCAGTACCTTGATATTAGCAGGATCCAAACGGGTTAGTTCCCATCAATTTCAAGGCTTTTAATATCAGCCCAGAAACTGACTAGTAAAGGCTTTTAAAATGAGGGGAATAATGGTCAGTTTCAGGGCAGCTAATATCACAGCACTGTGAACAATGCTTGAAAAATGCATAATGTTATCCATGTTGTGTACATAATGTGCATCCCTCACATTAAATTGAAAGTCAGTCCTGAAGTGATGCGCTTCTACGGAGTACACTAATTTGTAGGCTGGAGGGCCAGTGCAGCTTGAGAACTCTAAGCTACTATACAGATTCAGTTCTAGTTTCTTGCTTCCAAAGCCCAAGGAGACCAAGATGCAGCATGCTCAACTTATAACTGGAAGGTGGGGGAAGAACATAGGAGAGTCACTTGAATGGCTCTGCATATTGCCTAAACAATTTTAGAGCAGCAGAGACTGGGTCACACTGTCAAAAGTATTGCTGACTGAGTTCCAGTTGCCAGGCCAAGCTCTGCCTTTGATCCTACTCCGAAATACTACTGTAAACAAAGGGGTTATCAGGGGGCAACCAGGCTGGATGTGGCCTGTAGACCACATGTTACTCACAGCAGAGTGAACACCAGAAAAACAACCACTTGACTCTCAGATTCAAAAGTAAGCTTGCAGAGCTAGCAAGCCGAAAATAAATGTGCTAAACTGAGCCATTTAGAATCTCACTCTGCTAGTTTATAGTCACTTCCTTGAGTAGTTATAAATTTTATAAGTGAGGTTCAAGTTCTCTCTCAGTAGTTCTGAACCCAGTTACAGTACTGAATTGATTTATCTACTCTCAAAGCATAACGGAGTTCAGAAGAGCTAGGGATGACAGGTCTTAGTGGGCTTTGCAGCTGGGGAGCTATTTTTTCCAGAGACAGACAGGATAGGGAATACCTCACAGCTTTCCTGAAGGAAACCTCGCAAGTCATAGTGCATGTTCTCTTAGCTACATAAGGGATGACAAAAGATAGAAAAATATCTGCTTTCATTTGTCACAATGAAAGACTCCTTCTGGTGCAGAAGCGTTTCTGTGAACCTTAGGCTGATAGTAGACACAGACCTATCTAGCCTAAGCAGGTGTTAGATTTCACCATCACCCTACAGTAACTTTTCAAATGGACCAGATATTGACATGTGGTAGAAGAAAGGATATCTGATCTAAATATCATATACACAGTTACATTCTTCTAGTAGCTCTTTTGAGCAATTCTTGCACGTTTGTCATTGATTGCCTATACCCCCAGTCGCAAGTGGAGAAGCTATTTCCACCACTGGAACCTGATGGACATAAACAAGTCATGCTTCCTCACCCCATCCTTTAAGGGAATTACAGCTCACCAATGCACATTCCTTCATTTGTAACTTATCAAGCATGTTTCAACAAGTACCCAGGGGCTGGGTCTTGACACACCTACTCTCCTTACACAGGAAGAGACACATAGTAGGACAGAATTCAGTGTCATTTGCAGTGGCTTCAAGCGTATTTTTCGAACAGTCACCATGAAGGGTTATGCTGTGCAGGAGTTCAGTTGTTCCGGTTACAAAATTATTTGATATTGGATTTAAATTTTGCTACGTGGGCTAGTCAGCCAATAACCAAAAAGATGACACTGAACTGGTGCAAGAATATAGTGTATTGACTTCTGCAAAAGACAGTGTCTGACAAACATCTGAATCAACTTCACCCACATTTGCTAATCTATAAAGCTAGAAGAGAGAGGGGTTAATTAAATTTTTACCTTTTTCTTCATGGCTGTGCTGGGCATCACCCACCTACAGAATAACAAAAGACACAAGCAGCCTTGTTATATTGCTCTGCTTTTCCTCCCACATCCAAATCTCATCTTACTGCAAAGCAGGAAGAGATCCTTCAGCAAAGGGGAATTTCTCATGCAGCACTGACTACACAGCTGGCCAGGGAGGGCGGCCACAGTTTTGCCCTCCCTGAGCAACACTGGTGACAGCGGACTTTTCCCAAGGATCCTATTTAAAAGAAGCCCCGAACACACCGGTAATAAACACATCCCTTAATTAGACAATTAAATTGAAGCCAGTTCAATGGAGCCTGAGGGAAAGTAACGTCGGGGTGCTCTCAGACAGTCCGCAGCAGCAACCAAACCTCCTCACGCGCGGGCTGAAGCCACCGGTCACCCTCCCCGCCGGCCACCCGGCCTCAGCCAGCTCTCAGCACTGCCCCCGGGACGGCCCCGCGCCGGTGCACGGTGAGCTACGCGCTAGCCCCACCCCCCCATGACCGGTCACGTGCGGCCCCACACATTCGCCCGCTGCCCCCGCCCCGCCGCCTAATGCCCATCACCCCCGGGCCCCGAGCCGGCTCCCCCACCCCCGTTTACCTCCGGCTCCAACAGGCGCCCCCG